AGATATATCTATCTCTATATATATAAAAATGTCAGCACCACAGGTTGTCCAGCTTGTGTTCTAGACAACTAACAAAACCCCTCAACAATTTAACGATAATTTAATAGATTTATGGCATTTGGTTTACATATGTGATAAAGCAAAGCTATTAAAACAAGATAATTCACTTTGCTCACTTCTGCACACAAAGTAATAGTTTAATAAAATGAAAACCAAACAACATTCTTTTAAAACCAAAACCATCCTCCCAAAGTCCGAAGTCCTAAATCCTAAGCAGAGAGGAGACCTAGCAGTTGAAAGAGTGGTACATGGTATAAACCTTGACATACTTTTACATTCACCTCAACCAGAATAGGAAAAGTGAAAGCATTTTATATATATAAAGCAAATTTATATATATAAACAGACTAACTACCAAAAACAGTTAGTAAAAGCAAACATTTCATCATGACACACGGAAGGAATCAAAGCTGTAATATTCTCTCTCCCCACTGCTCTCTCATTACCAGCAACAGGATTTAGGAAATAAAATAAGGGAGATTACAGCTTCTTGGTGTATCCAGCAGAGCTGCCAATCTTATTCTAATATCTTTCTCCACTGGAATTTGTGTCTTGCCAGAACAACCAGTAGGGACACTTTAGCAGACTCTTCTTATCCTTTCCCCAGCACACTGTCTTTTATATTTTGAGCATCTTCAAAAGTAAAAAAAACCCCAAACAACCCAGCCTCCTTAAAAAACAAAGAATACTTATGTAGTCTTCTCCAGAAACCATTTCAAACTGATTTCCAGAAGGTCAGGAAAATTAAAAGGCTGTTATACTGAAGATTACTAAAAGAATAAAGGATTTAAAAAATACATTAGTAATGTGCTTGTTTGTGTTACACTTAGAATGTAATTTTTTAATCAGATGTGTTAGACATTGCATGAATTTCCATACTAGAATCCATAGCTTCAGAAGCTGAAGCATCATTATCTACTTTCTGTTCCACAAATGCTTCTGTTCTGTCTGGAGACTCTACCCTGTTTCTTACTTCTGTTACCCCAGGGTGATTTTTTCGCAAATGCTGGTTTAGTGTACCCTGGAAAGGAAAACATTTTCCACAGATTTCACAGCGAAAGGGCTTGTCATCTGTGTGACCACGAATATGATATTCAAGTTGGTCCTTGCGGGTATATTTCTTCCCACAAAACTTGCACACGAAAGGAGTTATTCCCATGTGCAATCGCATGTGTCGATCAAGGCTCCCCTTCTGGTTGAAAGACTTTCCACAGTAAATACAAATTAGCCTCTCACTGTATGGATACCAATGACCTCTTGTATTTCTTTCCCGTGGACTATTTTCATATCCTGGGTTACTCACCATGGATTCACTGTCAGCCCCTTGCACCAAGCCCTGAACATCACTATGCAAGTGACCAGCGGATACCCGTTTTTGGCGTGCACGACCCCCTCTGAAACAGCTCAGCATTGACCTTGAAGGACTCGTATTGCTCAGGCTTCCGAAGGTTTCAGACACACCTGTAGCCTGTGATGAGGCATGGGTAAATGAATAAACATGTTGTAAGACAGACCCATATGAACCAACATTTACTGCCACCACTTGCTCTCCATCCACCATTTCAGTATGATATCCATCATCACCAAGGGAAGAGCTATCAGAGCAGCTTGGCCTGTCAGACTTTTCCATTTTAACTTTCACCTCTGCAATCTGACTTTCCCTTACTATCAGGTCTCCTTGCTCATGATCACCTTCGATCTGAATCTCATATTCAGAGATACTCCCACTGCTTCCTCGATCTGAATGCCCTTCTTCTTGCAGACGACTACGTAGAGTTTTGCCTGGAGTAGTTTCCATCCTAAGATCGCTGCCTGCCGATGACTGTCGCACCTGAGAGCAATAGGGGGGAGATATCTCAATAGGATTGGCAAAGTAGCTGCTGTCTTTAACTCCATTGCGATTTTCTGAATTTTCTTCAGCACCAACGGTGACAGAGTCAACATCACCAACACTGATCTTTGAATGAATACTCTCCAGTATCTGTGTGCATTTATCAATGACGCACTGCATCTGTAGAAAGCTAGCTGCAGTTAGAAAACTAACAACATCCTTCAGCTGTAAGGACATCCTTCCAGTGTAACAAAAAGAAAGCAATTGTTCAAAAACATTGGGATTTTTAATAACTGATATTGATAAGCCACTCATGGTGCTTAATGCTGAATGGTCACGGAAATATGGAGAACTGGCAGCTAAGACAGCTTTATGGGCTCGAAATGGCTGACCCTGAATATGCACAATTATGTCACATAGCTTTCCTTGCAAGCGGAGTTCATTTAACTGGCTCAAAACAGTGTTGCTGTACTCGGGCACATCAAACTGAATGAAACTGCTGCTGTCCATTTCTACTGATGTAAAGAGTAATCTGAAAGAAAAATGAGAAGATTTACAACTGAGAATGAATACACAGTTTTCCATTTAAAAAATAAATGCTTGCACATGTTGAAGTTAAATCACCATTTTGATCTGTTTAAAGTCCGTTACAACAAAACAGTTTGTATAAATACTTGATACAATACAAAAAGTAGACTCTTAATCTATGCATTTCTTCCATTTCTATAATTTGAATATCCCTCTGCAACATTCACAATTCAATTGCTCATAAGACATCACAGGCTCCCTGGGACAGTCTATGGCCTAAAAGGAACTTCACAGTTTCACTCCTTGGTAAGGACTGCAGAACAATACCCCCACCATCCCAAAAGAATATTAATTTTATAGTCACTAGGCAATTTTAAAACTTCAGAATCTTTAGTAGGTCTTCAAGCCAGATACTACATCAATACCTGCAGGGAACTGCACTGTTAAATTGCCCAAGAATGATTTTTGGAAGGCACTTCATGAAGTTTGAAAAACCTGCTAAAGAAAAGCCACAGGCGCATGTGTGTCTGTGTGTGTGTGTGTGTGTGTGTGTATACACACACACAAAAATATTTTAAAAAACATTCCTTAGGTCTAGATATGTCAAATTTATTTCAGAGGAGATGAATGTACTACACCAGTGACATTTCTGTTTAAACATTTACCTTCTTAGAAAATAATCTCAATAATTATTTTAAAAAGGTAAAAATCAATCTTTTAATATTCACATCACAAAACAAGGAAACACTAGTGAAAGGAAACATTTAAGTGTGAACTCAATTCCAAACTGTTTACCCAGTGTGTCAGAGGTTCCCAGATAATAATAAATTTGCGTCAATATGCGAGGCAGCATTTGAAGGAAAAGTGTTTGAGCCACTCACGGACTTTCAATTTTTTTAAAATTTCCTTTTGCGATTTTAATTTTTTTTTTTTTAATAAACCATGATGTGAACTTTGAAGCTCATCTGACACAGCAGTGATTTCCTAGCTAGAATGATTTGACATTTAAATTCTAACCTAACTCAAAAGCCAGGGGTACTCAAACTTGCCTGATACACTGGTAAAGGATGTTCCAAGAGGCTTTACAGAAATGTATATATTTCAAAACAAGATCTAAAGAAAAGCACTTTACCAATTTTTCATAAAAAGCACACACACACTTGTCCCTTTGTAAGTGTCTACCTGTACAGACATCACCTTACATTTCCAAGACCGGGCCCCTAATGAAGTGCCCAAGAATCTTCAGACTTTTATTGCTATTCTTGTTCGTATTAATGCAGAAGTCTAAACATACAATATTGCCACCATACCTGCTTTTCCAATTGAACAAACAGATCTCAACATCATCCATTGACTTCTGATGCAGGAAGCATGTCCAATGTATCACAACATACTAGTGGATTTTTTTTTCTATTTATGTCTTATGTTACATGCTGTAATGGGATATATGAACAATGTAAATCAAATTATTAAAATTCAGGCACTCTAAAAACAAAATCAACAGGTAGGAATATGATAAAAAGTCTGCAAAGAAGAATTGGAGCTGTATCAGCTGACTGTCACTTAAAACTAACATTCATACTCTTCACAAATGGAATTTCTTTTCAGCAGAGAAACAAGACAGCCAGCTTCCTGACTTGACTAACATTATGTCTGATTTAGATAACGGTCAAAAACTCTCACAGAGCATTCAAAATCAGGTTATCAGAGTTGCTAAATATGTTCTGTAAGTTACCAACGTGTCATAGATTAAAATGGGTAAACCAGACTTCATCTGATTTTTTATAGTTGTTACGTAAAAGCAGGGGAAGAGATGTTATATATGCTCTTATATCCAATGAGGGAAATAAGGACTAAAAGGTGGTTAACAGAAGTGATATGATCGCAGCCATCTATACAAAGATAGCTTTAACAGGACAGTTTTATTCAGCAAACAAAGCTACAAAATGATTCAGAGCTTGTGAGCTGATGCAAGTCAGACATAAGTCAGAAATCAAATATTACAACAAACAAACAAAATCCAATCTAACAGTGGAGTACTTAAACGGCAAGATTAACCTTTTATTCTGAGCATCCCTGCATGTTGCGCAGATAACCAAGTCCCTAGCAGATGCATCCATTCCATTGGGATGATAGAAGTCTCAGCAGTAAGGATATAAGTTTGTCAACTTCTCTCTCATTTGACAGGGCAGCAGGCTTCATTACAAACCCAACATAGATCACTACCTTTAACTTGTGGGGCTTATGAGCTATGCACTGATGCAACAACAGGACATTCCTGATTAAGCTTCTCTTTGCTAAGTGGAGGAAGATCTTTTGTTGACCTGAAGTGACATGAATTGACAAGTTAACAAGGTTGAGGACTGTGTACAAACTACAAGACCAGTCCCCAGCAGCAATAATTTGTCATTCCTGCATCATTTCGGATCCTTGAGCTAAGGAACCAGATCTTGGTCAAGCCTCACTCAAATCCCATCAGAAATTACTCCTTTTTTTGTGTCTAGAATGTACAGAAAGTTTGTCATATATAGAAAGTGGCTTTCCTCCTTGCCCCATACTTCCCTAAGGCCTCTTATTCAGCGAAATGGATAACAACTTACTCCTAGACAAAATATTAAAATACAAACTGTCACCACTAGCACTAGTGCAGACAGAAGGAATGAATTAAGGATAGCCACCTGAGTAGAAAGAAGTTGGACATTTTATGCCTTACCATGGAGAAAAAAAATTATGATTTAATCATGGCATCTTAACATCTCTAGATGAATTCACACTCCCTAGGAAATGGCCACACATTGAAAATGGACTGTGAACACATACCAGAGAAAGCATAAGAACCAGGAAGAAAAGGACACCAAGAGGAAAGGGATCCTCAGCGATCCTTGCACATCGCAACTCTGTGAGAACATCTAATTATCTCCATAGGCATATATATCTATAAGCAATTCTACATCCCTGTTCTCAGAGTTGTTTCATCTTCGGTTGGGAAACAAAGCAGCTTATTTTCCTTAAAATGTTAGGAGTAAACAGCACAAATCCTGGAATTGAGTGGAGAGGATCATGGAGTTTAAGGTCTGTAAGTCTGGCTGTCAGTGTAGCAGATAAGCAGTAAAAACCAGAAACAGGGATCAAGGGAACATACAGTATTGCTTTGAAAGCAAACAAACAGATCAAGTACACAAAACACAGCCCAAAAAGCAGTGGACTATACCCATCTGCTCTTAAAAAAGAAAGTGAACAAGCTACAGCATGCACTTGTTGTGACTACTTTTCCACCTTAGTTTCTTCCTTTGAAGACGCATGCTTCCCGTGATCTTGAAAACATCTGCAGAAAGCTGGGGTTAAATAACAAGAATTTTGAACAGCAGCAGCACTTGACAGAAGGGAACCCTTCTTTCGCTTTCAGCCAAACACTGAAATCTCTAGTTGAAGAGGTCCTGGAACTGACGAGGTTGCCAATGAACACCACATTCAGGAGTAGGCAGGACTGTAGCAGGAACAGCACTGGGACTGCAGTAATTTTGCTGGGGTTAGTACCAGGGCACCTCAACTTTCTTGCATCAATTTGGGAAGGCAAGACCCGGGGAAAAATCTGGGCATTACACACGTCAGAGAAGCAGGCACCACTAGCAATGTGTTACTGATGAATAATGATTAGAAGAAGAACTATCTTTTTTATTCACATAAATCCCCAATGTCACTATCTAGAAAATAAAAGTAATCTTTAGATTATATTCCCATACACAAGAAGGTTTTATTTTATTCGTATACAGAATGAAGTTAGCAGTTCCATAATCAAATTCCAGTAGAATT